AAGGCTGAGCTGACGCCTCCTTCCCTGTTAATCCCGCCCCGACTGGTTAACAGTTATCAGTGCTTGCTGGCATTGATAAACGCTAAGTTTCTGGAGTTCCGAGCCGGCGACGTGTATTGGAGAACTCACCAAAGGTCTGCGAAACTCGTCCATGCCTTAAATTTCGTAGGGTCTTATTTCACGCTCTTCCACACCTTTTTCCTACTTTTTTTGATTAGTGCTTCATTGGCCACCTGTTCTAACAAATTTGACCCCTGAGACCTGCCAAAGTCCATCGCGGGCGCTGTCTTTAAAGTAAAAACACTGGAAGGGTGGTAGGAAGTTGGGAGAATCCAGGTTGGTAGGTAGTATGGGCTATGAGGAAGGGTGGTTGTATCCAGAGTACAGCATCGTTGTGTGGAAACACATGGGGGGGGTACTTTTTCGCTGTAGAGCGGGGTCGTAATTGGTGTTTCTTAGGTTTGGAGAGGGGGGAGTCGTATGTGGTTGAGAGGAATTTCGCCGCGTTGGGGGAAATTTTTGCCGGTTGTTGTCTTTTCGCGTGATTTTTCCTGCTATGTGTACGTATATGCCCCCGCCCACTCACGCTTGACAGCAAAATTTTTGGGGGAAAAAAGGAAAATTTTCGGTGAATCCCGGGAGAAAATGGTAGGAAGTTGGGAAACCCAAGAAATTTTCCCGTTTCAACATGGCTATATAACCCCGCTCGACGGAAAGTTCTTTCGGGAGAAAAACTGGAAAATGTGGGAAATTGGTAGGTAGGTGTTGGGGAAAGGGGAGAGGGTCGTACTGACACCCTCCCTTTGGGGGAGGTCGTACTGACACCAACATTCCACACATCACGATGCTGTACTCTGGTTGCACCAGAGGAGGAAATCTTGAGGGGAGGATCGTATTTGAAAAAATTTTTCTCAACCGCAGGACGTACTCTGCACTTGAGGCGCATTCCTGTAGCCAATAAGAAAGGTAAATATCAAGAAAGAAAGATAAATATAAGATAATATATATATATGATGTATAGAAAGATAATAATTAATAAAGTTAACAGGTCTTTATCAATTATTGCATAGCCCCAAGTTTGCCTGAGAGGGTACGAAGCTTCATACATTCAACCGTTATTATTATCATTAGGGTAAGGCACTACTGATAGTGTAATGTTTAGCACGCAGAGGTTCAGGGACCGAAGTTGCTAATGGAAAGGCAGCACATGAGCAGAAGACTGAAGATGTAAAAGTGCTTGTATAAGCATAGCGTGGTATCGGTTGGAAGGGGGGGGGGGGGGAGACTTCCGCGAACTGGTGAGAAACCGCCATGAAAAGAGTTGGTTTTGGCGAACAGGATGTTATCAGGGAAATCGTAACGGTTGGGTAGAAGAAAATTGAAGAGAATCGAACTGGTGGCAGAACATTTACAGAATGAGAGATTAGGGATTTCCAAAAATTACTGAAAATCGTGAGAAAGGGGAGGGCTTCTACTAAAGTTAAAGTTTTCAGATACAAGGAATGTGCTTTAGTAGCAACCAGTAATTTTTTTTCTGAATTGATACGACTGGAGCTTTCTGCTTTTCTTGATTTCGTTCTCTTTTCCTTTAATCTTTTATGCTTTTCTGGTTCTCCTCTTTTTCTTTGGTTCCTCGATCTTTTTTCTCATTGTTCTTGTTTTCATGCGTAGTCATGACTTATGAGCCATTATATATTTATGGCCAGTCTTGTAGTATCCTTTCTCGGCGCTTTTTGGCTTAGGGGGTGGGGTTGGGAGCATTTTGCACGTTCACTACCTATTGCCAGTTCATTTTAAATCGGCGACAGGTCTCATTTTGGTGAAACCTGTGAACTCTTATAAAGCTGCAGATTGGTACAAGTGAGCCACTTTGGTGCCAGGATTTCACAGGTTTCCAGAAGATGGCCTCTCCAGGCTTCGCTGAGTACATTTTTGCCCCCACAAACCGAACTGCACCCCCTTTCTTTGACTAACACAACCCAGTTGCAACTCGAGTCTGTCGGGACATCCGGGCTTCTTTTGCTTCTTCGATATCGCGTACCAGAAAGGCTTTCAATAGAACTGTGGTTTTCTTGCAAAAAAAAGCGTACCATTTCTCGCAGTGCCGTGCAGCGGCCAAGGGACACTACGATTGGAACTCTTCCAAGCAGACTAATGCTAAGCCTCGGCTGATTACTGCCAGACCTGTTCAAGGGATTTGGTATTCCATTAGAAGCGTGTTCCGCAAACCTTTAGTCCTTCTAGCAGCCTACTGTTCCGGATAGTAACGGCTGAACAGAACGAAAAATGTACCCTAAAAGGCTTGACCCTTCAAATCTTATAAGTGCCTTGAAAGGATATCTTGTTTGTGGATTTAACTTCAGGGGATAGTATTTGAGGCTGTCGTGGAGGTAGGAGAGAATGAGGTTGTGCTCAGTAACCCCTCCTTCTGTAGTCAACGGCGGGGCAATTTTACTAGTTCTAATGATTTGAGGCATTTCTATCCTCCTTTTCCCTCTCGAAAGATGTTGAGGGGTCATGTTAGAGGAGAAGATGTGGGTTTCCCATGAATGCTCAAACCGGCCGCGTTATGCACTCATCAAGCGAGCGGTCGCGTTGCGGCTGGTCTTGGCGGCTGCCGCAAGTGTTTTCACAGATTCATTGCCATTTATGGGGGGGGGTGGAAGAGCCGCTTTGAGAAGACTTTACCATTTTCTCTGCACCCTATCCTGCTCAAAGACAGCTCCCGCTATCAAGTAGTCCACCAAATACTCCCGTGCATTTGGCATCGTCCTCCGCATTCGCAGAGAATATATCACTTTCGTCACTCGAAACGGCGAGATAAAGAAGCTAGAGACGCGTGATTATTGCAACCATTGCAACCACGATTACTTTCACTCTGCAAGACAACGGCTTACAAGCGGAATCGCGTGTGTACATGACGTTGCCTGGAGCGTCGTAGGATGATTTTTTGTGCTCTTGCCGAGAATTAGTTGCACGTCGAATCCTGCTGCTTGGGCTTGCCGACGTCTGACAAACTCCTCCAAGGCGCATTCTGCTAAAGGGTTTGTGCACAGAGTGTTTCCAAGGTTTTTCTTTCTTTTTCACTCTACTGGGGAGTTACTTGTGGGCTACTGGTTCATGATTGAGCACCTCCAGTAACACTTGATCGCGGGAATTGACTTCAAGTTATCCGTGAGGTCATCGCCAGGCTAACCAAGTTTTTCCGAGAAAAGGATATTCCCACCATTACATTTTGGCCATGTGTTGGATGTGAAAATCGTATGGAAAGGTGCTTGATGTGTATGTTTTTCAGCAGGGTCGTAAACTTCAGATGATTTCAAAGAAGTCTGAAAGTGTGTCGTCGTAAAGCAGTGTTTTGTTGTGTCGTGGACGAATGGGGTGCGCTTGACGGGTGTCCTATGGACAATAAAAATAGTGAAAGGATTTTCCCTTTATCGATGTTCAGCCCTCTCGACCAGGGCACGCCATCGCGTTGTGATCATTTCCTGAAAAATGCGACCCCCCTCAGTTCCATCCTCAAATACGACCACCCTCCCCATCCTACCTACCTTTTCCCTAGATTTTCCCAACTTCCTACCATTTTTCCCAAAAATTTCCATTTTTTCAGCCAGGAATTTTCCGTCGAGCGAAGGGGGGGGGTATATACCCAATGTGAAACAGAAAATTTTCTCAGATTTTCCTTTTCCTCCTACCACAGTTCCTCCGGAATGTCCCGAAAAAGTTTTGGTTCTTCCCAAAATTTTAGAAATTTGGAAGTAGTAGTTGTATACATCTTTGGCAGTCCCTCTCCCAAAACGACCTAATACGACCCCCCCCCCTTATACCGTTCGTGAAACAAGAGGAAGCAACCATCAAAAATTCGTCTCAGACCAAATACGACCCGCCCCCTCCCTCGCGGTCAAATACGACCCCCAACCCCGTTGTGATCATCACAACGAAGGCGTGCCCTGCTTTCGACACACTTCGAAAACGTGTATCAGTCAAAGGAAAAAGATCAAACGGGGTTGAGGGAATCTAGCCCCTTTAATCTTTTTCCCACTTCCTCGTTAACCTTCATGTTCCCGAGCTAATGTTGTATCCTGCACTTTGAGGCAGAGGTAGTAACAGGGTGCAGCATCGTGATGTGTGAAATGGTGGTGTCAGTACGACCCCCCTCTCGAGGTAGGGTCTTGTTACGACCCCCCTCTCACCTAAAGGAGGTCTCGGTGCGCCTTCCCCCTTCCCAGCACATACCTACCAATTTCCACACATTTTTGCTCACCAGATTTTTCGTCAAGGGAGGGAGGGGGGAATCACGAAAAATCAATAAACGGGAAAAATTTTCGCAACGCGGCAAATTTTTGTCAAAGCCACATACGCCCCCCCCTCTCCCAACAACGACCAAATACGATCCCCCTCCCCAGCCGAAAAAAATACGACCCCTATGTGTTTAACACAACGATGCTGTACCCTGGGTGGTATAGTGGCAAGGAGCCCGCTTACCGCACGCGCGGTCCGAGAGTAAAGTTTCAGATCGGATCCCAGCCAGGCTGATCGAGCCTCCTACCTCCCGGCGACCGTGCCGGCACCAGATTTGTGTGGGAGGCTAAAAACACAAACCTGCTCATTGGCTGGCCCCCGCAAGTCACAGAATGGGCACACCGCATTCAATATGCGATTCTGAATAGAAGCAGGATGCGTGCCGCATCCTAGAAAAGGAGAATGATAACGGCAAAAGCTGTACCCTGAGTCTCTGGTTATGTTTTTATTTAGTTATTTATTCATTTATTTATTTATTCACCTACTTATTTTTCTCCTTGTCCATCTGCTTGTTTATTTCCTTGTTTTTTTATTTGTGCAACTATTTATTTACTTATTTAGTTGTTTAGTTATTTATCCATTACATTACAAGAGCGACATAATCCACCATGCCACGAACCGTGTTAGTAAGAAACCGGTTTTAATCAAAACAGGGAACGTAAACAAAATCGAAAAACAAGCAAGATATAAGGGCATCAATGTTTGGAGGGGGTAAGAAGCACTTGGCCGCTCTTCTTTCCTGATCCAAGGCTTAGTATTAGAGCGTAGATTTCTGTCGCCGAGGATACTCTCACAGAGGAGGCAGTCTCCGCCTTCGTGAGGGTAAGAGACACAAAAGCGTTGTCGAGAGAACCTTCCCCCCCCCCTTTCCCTGCCAGCTTAGTGCTGATTCAAGTCCGACTACATTGCTCTTTCACTGGTTCGTGCTGAGGATTCCGCTTCTTCCCGCCAATTTTTTTTTCTTATTTTTGTTTCCTTGTTAGTTAATAGTAATGGGCGAGGTTAGGAGTCCTCAAACGGGACGTCCTCACGGCGCAGTTCGGCAACGGAGGGGGTGGCATTTTGCACTTTCTGCTGCTTCCCATCGACGTGTCGACCCATCTAGACAGCCTCTTCTCGAGTTGACAGGTTTTACCATGATGGCTTGACGACTTGCTCCAGCTTCACAAGAGTTCACAGGTTTCACCAGAGTGAGACTTGTCGGAACTAGTGAAGCAACGAAAGTACAAAATGCCCCCCCCCCCCGTCGCCGAACTGCACCCGTTCTCACTAATAACGAGGAAATGTTATGTGAACTGGGGCAGAGTGCACACGAGTGACGTCAAGTTGTCTTCAGGGAATTGTGGTGTGAGCTGGTCTCGCGTGTATCTGGGTGTTCATTCTCCATGTGATGTGCTAGGCGGATGGACCATAGGCGTACTACTGCTCTTCATATTCGGTAGGTGATAGGGCGTTTCTATCGATAGATGTCTGTCTGGTAAGTGCAAAGTGCACTGACGGCTGTCAGTCGGACGGTTTCAGTGGGTGATTTTGCGCTTCAACGAATTAAAGGTCATTCTTCTATTTGCAGGAGGGTTTTCTGATAAGCTTTATGATGCGTATGAGGCCAGTTCTCGTGACGACCTTTCATTCTTCGCCTATTTCTACACCTTCGTCCTACTCCTACTGTGGATTCATCCCAGAGCTTGGCCAGAAACGCAGAGTTATGCAGAAGTACGTGGGGTTCAATTCCTTTTCTTCGAATACTTTCTTTGTTCTTTGTTCCCGCTGTGCGTTTGAACTGTCTCTGCATACAGACCTTGGGACCACTTAAGGCGCTTTGAATTTGCATATAACTAATCCGCCGAACTCGCATCCTCATATCCCGTCTTGAACCTCTTTCTTGTCACAGTGGTCCCAACAAACTTCCTTTTCTAATTTTCGAATCTAGAAGGGTAAAATAAAGACTGAAATTTGTCGCCTTGTTTAGATTTCTTCTTGGGCTGCGCCAAACGACCACTTGAAGGTGAGGTCAGTGGCATTGCTCGTTACGCCCACCGTTTGGAAGTCAAGTCCCATGCAGGACATGTCCTGCCATTGGGAAAAATTTGGCAAACGACTCCTTTCAAGATTTCCCTCTTTTGTACTATCCTCCCCACTTCCCATCCCCATTTTACCTATGGTCTCTCGGAGGGGGAGAGGGAAGTATCTAGCGGCTTGTGAAACGGTGAAAAAGCGGGAACAATCATAGGCGAATCACTTTTTTACAACGCAAATTGCGACCCTCGCCTCTAGCCGGACATGGATCACGCCCTCGCTGGGGTGCCTGCATTACGAGGTGCTCACTTTGCTCCGGGCAACTGAGGCCTGTCGTCGTTGCTTGGATATCCGGCTTGAGAAAGGCCTACTCGCAAGGCCGCTGATACTCCGCGCATCCACTAAAGATCGAATCCTTCCCTCCCTCGCCCCCTCCCATAGTGACCAGCAATCGAGATCCACTCTCTTTCGGGCTGGCAAAGCAGTCTGGCCCTGTAATGGTAAGTGGCGCTGTCACCGCGCGCGCCGGTCGTTCGCGTCTTGGAAACGGCTTCCCCCAGTCCAACCAAGCCTTCTAACCCCTCTGGCGTAACCGGCTTACCAGTTCCAAGCCTTCTAGGAGAGAAGCCAGCTGACCGTTGTCCGGCACGAATGGAGGCGCTGGTTTGTACATCAGCTCCCTCATTCTGAGTTATCGTAAGGTCCGAGAGAGTCAAGTACTTCTACAGTTCCAGCTTTATTTAAATGCTAGTACTATGTATTATGGGAGGTGTTTCCTTTCTCTCGACGTTTTTTCTCACCATTGCTCATATTTTGCTCACAAATTCCATTTTCAGTTAATATGTGTGCTATCCGGTACGGGAGCGATTTGGTGCGGACGAATTTTTCATCTTGGAGGTGACATGCCGTCGATCAGCTTGGCAGAAGATCCAATGCCACCTGTCTATTTGTATCTAAGATTCTTCAGGTGAGCTTTGTTAAGGCCAGCTTTATCTAACTGAATTTCAGTTCAAATTCTGAAGCCCACCCTTTTAGGTGTTGTGATAATTCTGAGCTGTCGCGTGGTTTTGAAGTTCATCGCCAAACTGCTGATATCAAAGGCCTGTCTGTACACCTCTCGTTCCTCCGACCATTAAAGCACTATTCGTACTCAGAATGTGGCCGTGATTTCTAAAGGCGAGTTTGCTAGGCCGTACGAAGAGATATACGAATAGGATGAGATTCAAACCGATTCCAGGAGCTAAGGTTGGTCTACTCTTCTGCGATCTTCCTTTATCAATAAGAAGATTGCTGAGGGCGAGGCCGAGCGAGCGAACAGTCCGTGGCGTGCGTGAGCGTGCGTGCCGTGCGTGTGCTAGTGCGTCGTGCGTGCGTAGCGTGGGCGTGCGTGCGTGCGTGCAGGTGCTGCGTGCCGTGCGTGCCGCGCGTGGCGTGCGTGCGATGCGTTGCGTGCGTTGTATATTGCATGGTGGGGAGGGTGTGATTTCAAAAGGCCAGCTGAGAGGAGATAACCGTCTGTTTTAATTATTGAGGATGATGGGAGCGTGTCCAGAGGAGAGGGGCGGGGGATTTGCATGCGCGCCCGTCCTCCACCAGTTCTTGAAGCACATAAGCGCTAACAAATGGTGGAAAACGACCGATGCGAACGATATGAAAGAATGTAAGCGTGCTGGAAGTGGCCGAGACCTGACGCATCGTTCCATGTCGGACTAGGTCTCGCTCCAACCATGAGACGAACGCTAAGCGAAGAAAACTTTGTAGACGATTTGATTTTAAGATGGGTGGTGAGAAGGGGGAGGGGGGTAGTATGTGGGCAGGGGGCGGGGTGATGTAGCCCAGGGTACGCTCATATTCAAACCAACTTGTCAAAGAGATAGTGCTGGTCATCGTAAGGAAGTTGTTCAGACAGAAATGGTTATTGTTTCAGAAAGCGCTCTCATATGAAATCTGGGTTATATATCTAGACTAGATAATACAGTTCCCGATAGCAGAGTGGGTGGAGACAGACAATCAGTGCATTTCTTCTGATGTGTCCCCTCCTTTTAAGGCAGCGCAGCTGGTCACGTTCTGCCTTTGGGGAAACTTTGCGAATACAACCCCTACCCCCCCCCCCCCCTCCCTCAGAATTTCCCCTCTGGTACGACCCCACTACCGGTCCCTTATCCTACCTACCTTCTTTTTCAGATCTCCAAAACTTTCTACCTCCTTTCTCCCGGGACTGCCGTCGTGAGGGGAGGGGCAGGGGTAGGGAAGAACTAGGACGATGAAAGTCAACGTCCGAAAACATTTTTCTCGAAGGCAGTCGCGAGTACTCACGCCCTCGCTCTCCCTCTAGCTACAAAAACGACTCTTCGTACTAGGGATCCCCAGCGTACGGCATGCCCTGAGAGGGCGAGGCACACCATTGGGCAAATTTGAGAATTCTCATGAATTCACGGCACCAATTTATAGTCCTCTGTCTCCACCCATAGAATTTTCGCAGACTGTTCTTTTAAAAGTGGTTATTTACAGGTAGTACCTGCTGATGCTATACCGTACGATATGGATTTGCCGGTGAAGTTCATCGTATATTCCATGGTTGGATTCTTCGTTTCCGAAGCGTGTCCGATGATTTTTGCTCAACTAAACATCTAACTCACTACTGATCATGACAAGTCTAGAAATCTGTTCATAGATGGAGTGAACTTTTCCGCGCTCATAACTATTTTTTTGCTGTATTGTTTTTCTCTATGGCGCTAAGAGAGTTGGGGGCAGGGCTATGTCTCTGATCGTCTGCGCTCTCAATGCGACCACTATCTTGGTAGGAGAGCGCAGACGAGCAGAGAGATCCGGTAGTCGCGTGCCCCCCCCCCAATCTCTTGCCCCTTGTGCCTTGTTTTCCTCTACTTAATGCCTTAACGTTCACTTAACTTTTATCAGGTCATCTGCTCAACATTCCACTATTGAATATTACTACTTTAGAAATTATTTCTTTTGTACAGTACTACTAACAAATGCAATATCTAAGTGATATCTCTGGCCCATCTAGTCGATTCGGATGTGCGCGGATTAAAGATCGTTCTCTCAGGTGTCGAGTAGCCGTTGTGATACCCGTCGCGTTATGTCGCGTCATATTTCACGCAGTTATGCTGTTGTTTGTTAGTCTTTTAGTGATTAGCCCGTTAAATGTGCCAATTGAACAGGTGAGGCGCTATTTGACGCTGGTGCCATCGACGGTGGTGGTTCGTTCGATTCCCAGCGAAACTCCCAGTTGCAAACGACCAACAACAACCAAATGGCGTCCAGCAAGCGACCGCCGGAGGACGACTCGAAGTTGCCCACTTATCGATTAGTTGTCATAGGAGATGGAGGAGTTGGGAAAAGTTCGCTCACAATTCAGTTCTTTCAAGTGAGTTATTGATTGATTCAAGTCTTCTTTGGCCCTCAACCCCTTGATCCCATCTACATGTGCGTCGCTAGCGGGGCACATAGGCTTATCCTGCCGTTGAATAATCATGAATTTCCTCCCCCCCCCCTCAAATTTCCTCCTCTGATAGTCCCCCACCTCCTCATCCTTCACCCTACCTCCTATTTTCCTAATTTTTCTCGGCCTAATCCCACTTCCCATAGTTTCTCCGAAAATTTCTGCACTTTTCTCCGAAATCTGTCGCCGTCGAGATGGAAGCTGGAGAGGAAGGAACATTTCCCAAAAGGGACCCTTCGGCAACCAATTAAGACCCCGCCAAACTCAACTCAACCTGAACTCAATAAATCATTGCCCGTTTTCGTCAGGCAGTTCAAGAGTTCAGTTCCATCGACATAAAGTTGGACATATCCTACAAATTGTTGTTTCCGCATTTAATTGCAATTCCTCCCGTTGTTGCTCTCTCTATCCAGCAACTGCTTACAGCGCCCTCCCTCCCTGGATACTCCGCACATTCTATCTGTAAGAATATATTTCGAGTAGATATAATACTGCTCTAGTCGCCGAAAAGCTGGAGGGCTCAGATTCAGACTGGGGCAGAATTTAAAAATTGATGGGTTCATCGGATTTAGAATAGAATCGGGAACCGTGGATTAGGAACTTTGAATGCAACTGCCGACGATTTGGTCAGCGGTCCAAGAGAAAGTGGGGTCTATATAGGGGAAGGGAGGTATTATTTGGCAAGACAACCATAATGTGCCGCACAGGTGGGCGTGGCAAGCGGCGCCGCGCCCTTGGAGACGTGTTATCTTGCCTGACCTTTTGGATTTCAATGGAGAATTCCGCCTAATTTTAAATTCACATGGATTTCACTGTTTTAATTGACAAGCGGATACACATTCAGAATTGGTTGCACGATGCGCTGCGCGAGACGACACGGCAAATGACAATTGTCTTGTCCGCCTTTCACGGAGGGGCACTCGGTGCTGATACTGACTGAGCCACGCCCTCCTTCTGCTCGCCTGCTCCCTCTCAACAAGATGGCGTTCAACGAAATTGCTGAGACAGTAGACGAAGTGACTGAGCATACCCTGATTCCCTTCAAATACCGAGATTTTGTCAATCTGAGCACGCTTTCAATCTGTCGACTAGCGTGGGGGAAGGGGGGGGGTTGACGTGACGGCACCGCCGCATCTGTGTTACCTTAGGCGTAATTTATTTTCCTGTTTTTTGAAGGGTTAAAACCGGTAGATCTTCTCGCTAGAGGCTGATGAGCTTTTTTTATGCTTTTATGTTGTAAAATGAATCTTGTAAGAAGAATGTGAAACGTGCAGGAATGTGACAGTGGTGCACCTCGAGTTCGCATTTTTTGCTTTGCAGTGACAGATGATGGGTGGCAGAGTGCCAGCAGCTGTAGCCACCGCGAATAGCGACTTATTTCCGAGAGTTTAGGGGAGGGGGTTATGATCAATATTGTTCTTGCTGTTGGAATAGGTTTGGAAGGATCAGAAAATTGACCCGGTAGACCACTGCGCCTTGGTGAAAGAATATACAAAACATTCTAGGACGAAGGCTTGGATCAGAGTCGTCGCGAGCGTTTCTCGCAGAGCGGTCTGTACGCAACTCTGAAAGTCTGCGCTTTATCTGAGTCTTATTTAGAGGAAAGAAGGCGGAAACGTTCTTTCGAAGCCCCGTTCAATTAGCGCAGCACCCAAAGGGCTACAATAGAAACCCACCGTAGCCCTCTCAAAGCTGCTTAGTGATGTCATTTCAAAAGGTTCACTTTTAGAAACAATTTTTGGATTATTATGACCCAACAATTGAAGATCAGTATATTCAACATTGTGAAGTGGATGGCCACTGGGTAATCATGGATGGTGGGTTTTCAACTAACTTACGTACAGATGTTTTTCGGACTATTCTGCCTTTTTGCAGTGCTGGATACAGCTGGACAAGAAGAGTTTTCCGCGATGCGAGAGCAGTACATGAGGAATGGGCGTGGTTTCCTTCTTGTCTACTCGGTAACTGAAAGGAAAAGTTTTGATGAAGCGGCGAAATTATACAGACAGGTGCTGCGCGTGAAGGACTGCACTGAATACCCTGTATTGCTGGTAGCCAACAAGGTAAGTTTTGAAATTGTTTTCTTTCTTATGAAGACGTGATAGATCTTCTGATTTCTCGGTGACGGGGGGGGGGAGAAGAGGAGAGGTGAGGTTCAAGTGAGGTGCTCACAGGCAGGGTCGCAGCATGCGTTGTGTAGAAACGCATGAGGAGGGCGGGTATACTTCTTCTCTGGGAGGGCCGTATGTTGGTCAACTGGGAGACAGGGGGGGGTCGTTCGTAGCCTTAGAGAGAAACGAAGAGAAGAAAGGGTTATTATGCGTTTTTGACTTTTTGTGTGGTTTTTCCTGTTTCATGTGCCCTATATACCACTCCCCCCCTCGAGGGGAAATTTTCGGGTGAAAAACTGGGAAATGTGGTGAGTAGTGGGTAGGTGCTAGGTGAAGCGGGGGGGGGCTCGTACGAGACTCCCATTATAGGTAGGGGCGCCAGGGAGCGGGGGGGCGGCTCTCAAAGTAGCTAGTGTGATTTATACGAGGTAGGTTCATTCAGGTGCAGTATTAGTAGGCGTCGTTTGCAATGGATGCAAATGGACCTGAAAGGGGGGTGTGGCGTGTACGCCGCTCGGACCACCAGTTGTTACGGGCTGTTCAGGATGGATACGGATTGGCAGTTGCAGCTATAAGATAAATAAAATAGAAAGATTGAGTCTTAAGAAATTTTTTGCACTTGTTTCAAAGTTGAAAATTACTTCAAAGTCACTTTAAATTTTAATTTACTCAACTATTTTTGCTATTTATTAAGGGGGGGGGTCAATCCAAAGAAGTAGCTCAGTTTCCGTCTCGCACGTGCCCTTAGACGGAAACTGAACGAGCATTCTCTAACTCGCAACAATTGCTGCAGAAGGCTGCCCCGGGTGCGGTGCAATTCACACCCTTTCGCTTGCAGAGATGATGACAGTGGGTAACGTGAGTTCCTATCGCCATAGAGCTGCCTTTTTTGCCCTTTGGAAATTCACACAGAGTGAGCTGCAAGCTCATAGTCCCTAGGCCCATCATGTGCTTGCCGGACCCAGCTGCTCGGGCCATCGCGTTAATTCTGTGCTCCCCGTCATTTGCCTTTGGGTCAAATCACAGTGCTCACTAAGGATAGCGGAATAGCTGTTTCGAGCTAAGTGAGTGTTTTCAGATTGATTTGACGAATCAACGAGTAGTGAGCGAAGCTGAAGGTCGTAATCTCGCTGCCAGTCTTAAATTGCCCTACATTGAGACGTCTGCCAAGGTACGTTTTCACTCAGTTCTGTCTAGGCTAGGCGAGGCTGTGTTCATACTTCATGACTGGGGAGAATCGGCGTTGGGAAAATTCGCGAAGAGGAAAGTGTAGCGTTTCGACAGAGAAGGCAAAACACCGATCGGCGCAGCTGGCTAGTGTTTTGGGATAATAGGCGTTATGGCGCCGATTGATTCTTATACTATCCTTTTAATCGATTCTCTCGAAACGCCGATTCACCAGAATCGTAAAGCATGAAATCGGCCCTAAAGACACTCCCCGCGATGAAGTGATCAGCGAAATGCCTCCGTGCATTTGGCATCGTTGTCCGCACTCGCAGAGAATATACCACTTTCGTCACTCGAAATGGCGAGATAACGAAGCTAGAGACGCGTGAGTTTTGCAACCGGTGCAACCGCGTACTGTAACTCTGCAAGACAACGGCTTACAAGCGGAATTGCGTGTGTACATAGCGTTGCCTGGAGCGTCGTAGGGCGATTTTGGGGAATTGGTTGCACC